GGATGTGTGTTTAAGATAAATGGACATAATGTCAGTTTTACTGGCATCGAACAGAACACGGTTGCTACAGCCCCAAGCAGAGATAAGGCCCAGATCAGAATTTAGAGAGAAACTAAGGGAGAAGCGGTAGTCACTAATTCGGGAGTTAGCGATGCGCGAAGAGGAACATGACAGAGAAGAGTGTGCAGTAGCGTCATTGGCAAAGGTGTCAATAGGATTTGAAGTTGAAGAAAGGTCATCAATAAACATCAGAAAAAGGGAAGGGGAAGCACAAAACCTTGGGGAACACCAGAATTCACAGACACGGAACGAGCGGTGATCCCATCTACTCTGATGGAGATGCCGCGGTCCTTGAGGTAGCTTGCTGTCCAGGACACAAGTTCCGAAAGAAAGCCAAACTTGGGTAGTTTAGCCAGCAAACCGGCGTGCCAAACACGATCGAAAGCTTTCGATATAACCAATGACACCGCATTGGTTCTCCCATAGTTGTCGAGTGCCACTGACCATGTATGCGAAATGAGTGCCAGAGGATCACCGGTAGACCGATGTGATCGGAAACCGTATTGGCGGTCGCTAAGCATATCGTTCTGCTCCAGGGGGTGGCGGAGTTGATCAGGAACAATTGATTCCATAACCTTCGAAATGACTGGTGTGAGAGAGATGGGATGATATTTGTTTGGGTTAGAGTGGATTAAAAATATTTCTGATATTTTCCATCGGATTTGCAATACCTTGGAATTCAGAGATAGAAATAATTAACATTTACACGAAAAATGATCATCCCTAAAATAGCCGGTTTCTGTGTCTCATTCATACGACGTCACTCCACTGTCTCTTTAGGTACAAACTTCGGACCAATAAAACAATACAAATTCATGATGGTATTCGGTGACTGCACCTGATTTGAGTAAAAATGCAACAGGTCAATTACGCATGCCTACAATAACTAGGAGCATAAGAGGCGGAGAGAATTCCTGTCTTCAACATATCCTTTCTAGAACAAACAAACAAATGGAGCATATGAACCGTTAATTGTAACATTTTAATATGTTTCATTTGATTGATCATAGCATCGTTGTATCGTTGTGCAGTGAGAAAAGAAATACATTGAAATCATCTTCATCAACTGATTATGGATTGCACCGAAGAAAATGGAGGGTTGTCAAGATAGAGGAGGGAATGCGTAATCACCATTGAGCAAAAGAAGGAGATAACCGGCAGAAGTGGCAAGCCTGGTAGGATGACGTAATACGAAGGTTGAACCGGTCGGATACGCTTTTTTAATATCCATTTGTTGCATATTATTACCCGGGTAGACAATGGGCTTGAATCCCACCGAGGCTACCTAACTTTTCACAATCTCAACCTAAGACTTCACTCTGCCAAACAACAAAGTGAACAATTAACCTT